GCTGTAACCAATTACCACACATCTGGTGGCTTAAAATTATAGAAATTTATTCGTTCATAGTTCTGGAGGCCAGAATTCTGAATCTAAAGTGTTGGCAGGGCTCCCTCTGAAGGCTTAGGGGAGGAACCTTCCTTGGCTCTCCCAGCTTCTGGTGGCTCCTGGCGTTCCTTGGTGTTTCTTGGCTTGTGGATGGCTTGTTCCAATCTCTACCTCTGTCTTCATACAGATTTCTCCCCTCTGTGCCTGTGTATCTGTTTCTCCTTTTCTTGTATAAAGATTTGTTGTTGGATTTTGGGCCTACCCTAAACCAGGATGATTTCCTCTCAAGATATCCAAACACTATTTTCCTGAATAAGGTCACATTTACAGGTTCTGGGGGTTAGGGCATGGGCATACAATTTTGAAGGTCACTGTTCAACCTACTGCACTCACTAAACCTAAAGTCTGGCTGAAATGCCAGCTGTTCAGTGACATTACCTGATATTACCAGAGGAAATTTCTTTTGTGTTTTTATGTATGTCATTAATACCTCTTCTATGGTTTTTATCATGTATTTTATATTATCTATCTTCTCCACTGCATTATTTGCCCCTTGGGGATAGGAGTTGTGTGTTATGTTTTTAGTTGATGTTCTTAGTACCTTACACATGGTCAATATTCAATAGTTGGTTGAAAAAAAAAAAAATCAAATAGGTAGACATAGAAACATCAAGCAAGGTCACTGATACCCTAGCTTTGTTTCTTAATGTATTATACCCAGACACTTTGATAACATGAAAAAACCTTCTGTCCTCCTTTTAGGCCATTTTGAGTTTTCAACACAAAAACGATAACTAAAAGTAAAACAGCAGACAAAATGTTTTTGGTTTTAACAGCATTATTTTTTATCTCTTGCCTCCAGAAGCATTTAAGGGTCACTGGTTTGGGAGTTGGAGATGGGAGTCTGGGTTGTATTATGTCACTGAGGAAATCGGACACTAATCTGGGTTCCCTTGGGTGTGGTTTGTGCTTGACATCTTCCTGCCCCCACAACTTTGTTTATGCAGGAAAGATCCACACCCCAATGGAGTATAAGGGGGAACTAGCGTCCTACGATATGCGACTGAGGTAGGTGGTGGGGGGCCATGGGTGAGGGGGACTGGGGCACCAGACACAGTACTGATGGCTCTACCCTACCCCCCAGGCGCAAGTTGGACTTGTTTGCCAATGTAGTCCATGTGAAGTCGCTTCCTGGGTACATGACTCGACACAACAATCTAGATTTGGTGATCATTCGAGAGCAAACGGAAGGGGAGTACAGCTCTTTGGAACATGAGGTGAGGCCCTAGAAATTGGGGAGGGCAGTAGTGAAGGTGAGAGAGAGGCATAGTCCCTTCTTTCCTTCTTTCAGTGTTTCTCAGCTGTTTCTCTCTTACCCAGAGTGCGAGGGGCGTGATTGAGTGCTTGAAGATTGTCACTCGAACCAAATCTCAGCGGATTGCAAAGTTTGCCTTTGACTATGCCACTAAGAAGGGGCGAGACAAGGTCACGGCTGTCCACAAGGCCAACATCATGTGAGGGACATAGCTTTGTTTGGGGTGGGTTCCTAGGAAGGTAGTCCCCTGCACTCTTTTGGCTGAATCTGTTTCCTTTGGCCCTTGGACAGGAAACTTGGGGATGGGTTGTTCCTGCAGTGCTGTGAAGAAGTTGCTGAACTATATCCCAAAATCAAATTTGAGACGATGATCATAGACAACTGCTGCATGCAGGTAGGCCCTCCCCATGTTTGCACTCTGAGTGCTGAGGGAGGGCGGGGAGTGGAATTTACTTCTCTCTCCATGTCCACATCTCTCTCCACCTCCCTTCCGCCCCAGCTGGTACAGAATCCTTACCAGTTTGATGTGCTGGTGATGCCCAATCTCTATGGGAACATTATTGACAATCTGGCTGCTGGCCTGGTTGGGGGAGCTGGTGTTGTCCCTGGTGAGAGCTACAGTGCAGAGTATGCCGTCTTTGAAATGGTGAGTGAGGTTACCTCCTCTTTCAGCCCTGTGTGCCCATCTTCTGACCTCAGGTCCCCTGATAGCTTCCCAAGTGCCACCCCCTCCTAAGTGACCCTGGCCTGCTCCTGCTCTCTTCCCATGCCTCTTCTGTGTCCCTGACTTGACTTCTCTCTTCCCTAATACCTTTCCCTGACCCTCACCTCTGTATCACATCTGCTCCCAGTGACTTTGGCCTGCTCTTCTCTCCACAGGGTGCCCGGCACCCATTTGCCCAGGCAGTGGGTAGGAATATAGCCAACCCCACAGCCATGCTGCTGTCAGCTTCCAACATGCTACGGCACCTCAAGTAGGTTTTGGTGGGCTGGAGGAGACTGGATGTTGTAAGGGGAGTACAGGTGGGGAAATTGGGGCCTGATGAGGGGGTAATTTGTTTCTTCCTGTTCACATTGACAGTCTAGAATATCACTCCAACATGATTGCAGATGCAGTGAAGAAGGTGATCAAAGTTGGCAAGGTGAGTTAGAAAGGTTTAAGGCCTTGGTACTATTCTGGATAACCTGAATTGAGGCTTTTCTCTCTAGGTCCCCAGAATATCTGATTCTTCCGCTCCCCGCCATTCCTGTCAGGGCTGCTCTTCGCTTCTCTTCTCTTGGCTGTTTCATTCTCTTGATCTCCTTTGCATGGTAGTTCCCATCTGCTATTCCCTTTCCTCCTCCATCCATTGGCTCTTTTACGGGCCATCTTAATGATGAACTTGCAAAGTACCTGGGTTTAAGCTCTCTCGGGGAGGAATGAGAGATGGTGGAGCTGAAGGAGATAGCAGGCAGGATGAGGCACAGGTGTCAGTCACCTCCAACCTGGAAGTCCATCCTCATTTGCACTTTCCTGCTGGTTTCTTTCCTCCCTCCTGCTTGGTCTCTCTCATTTCCTCCAAGGCATCTTCATCTTGTCTTTGATCTGCATTTCCATTTTACTTCCTGCTCAGCCTCCCATTCATTCTGTGCAGGCCTAAGCATAGCTCTGATGGTGGCTCTGGACCTCAAAAGATCTGAGTGTATGGGCCCATGCTCTTCCAAACCTGGCCACCTTGCATCTCTGCTGTATTGTCTTCTGGCCTTGTCTTCTTGGGCTCCCATTTCCATCCCATTGCCCTATTCCCCCTTCATGGGCTCTCTTCTCTTCTTCCCCCACGGCTGTTGCACGTGGTGGCTGTAGGTGCGGACACGAGACATGGGCGGCTACAGCACCACAACTGACTTCATCAAGTCTGTCATCGGCCACCTGCACCCCTATGGGGCCTAGAGCCCTTTATTCCCTCCAACCGCATGAAGACCATACTACTAACTACACCTCCCTTCAGTACAGTGGACCAGACAAGAACTCTTAAATAAATCTGTAGACCATAGTCACCTTCTGGGCAGAGCCTAGGTTGCCTGGGGCTGGCTTCCTTAGGGGACTTGTGTATTTAGGTGGGGGGATTAGGGATGGGCCCAGGCCACAGGGATGACGACAATTCTCCCCCACAGGTTCGAACTCCTGACATGGGTGGCTATGCCACCTGCCAAGACTTCACTGAGGCTGTCATTGATGCCCTGTCCCACTCGTAGGTCCCACCCAAAACCATGTGAAAGTGTCCAATAAAACATGTACCTCAGCTTGTGAATGTTTTTATTGGGATATAAGGGATGGGTTGGGAAATGTCACTGTGGGTGGTTATGTCCCACCAGGGCACTGTCCATTCTAATCTCCCTGGGATAGCTTCTGCAGCTTTTTCTTTTTCTTGGAGCTACTGCTCTTGCTGCTAGCAGCTTCTTCAGGTCCACTGCTGAGCAGCTCCTCCTTAAATTTCCTCTTTTTTTTAGGGACACTCCTGTTTTCTGCCTCTTCAGGGTCACTAACTGGTTCTTCTTTGGGGAAAGATTTCTTCCTCTTGGGAAGACTTCCACTGCCAGCTGTTTCTTCTAAATCACTACTGATCAGCTCCTCCTTGGAAAAAGCTTTCTTTTTCTTGGGTTTGGCTAAAGAGACAGGTGGCTCTTCCATTCCATTCTCCTGAGGAGCCTCTTGGAGCTTTTGCTTTTTCTTCTTTTTGGGTCTTTCACTTATCTCCTAAAAGGGTAAATGGGCATGAAACTGTCACTTACTGTATGATCCCCGCCCCCTCCATTACAGTTCTAGCAGTTAAGTAGGGCAGACAGACTGGTGGAAATGCTGTTAAATTGCCCAATGCCCAAAGGAATAGTTTCTAATTATATGGCTATAACTTGAAATCCACTCCCCAAAGGTGACTGCAACTTAGGTGGAAAAAACATTTAACTGACTTCATTAATTAACTTACAGAAAAATCTACCATACTAGTCTGAATAGAACTATCACGCCAGGTTCCAAAGGGAACCCTGAAACACTGTACAAATGGCACTATCAAAATCCTAGGGAGGATTCTAACCTAGCATGTTGGAGACCTTGTTCCCATCCCTGCTCCCAAACTGGGCACTATGAAATGCTACCACCTCCAGACATACGGCCGAGAACAGCTGGAAGTCACACTATCCCCGGTTGAGGACTCCTGGGAGGCACCCGAGGACAGAACATACTTGCTCAGGGAACCGGTGTGCTACAACCAGCTCTCTGGGCTCTTGAGCAAGTTCTCTCAGCACCTATCTCCTTCCTATAGAATCAAGAGGCAGTTTTAGACATTCCAGTTCAAAAGCCGAGACTCAAGACCATGGCTATGAGGTCATACATCCTTTGTTCCGCTGTTGAAAATTCTACAACTCAAGATCTTCATTTAGGACCAGTATGCTTACTGACCTCACACTCCTCTGGCGTACTAGTGCTGTTTTCTGGAGATGCAAGAGCAATGGCGGCCAACCGTTTTTTTTCTTTCTTCAAGCGTTTCTTCTCCTGTTTCTCCAGCTTCCTAGTAATCTCAGCAGCCGCCTCCTCTGCCTGGCCAAAGAAAAGTGCTAAAAAGGCTGTCAGACCTCTGGCCCTCCAGGCCTCTCTCCTGGCTTTATTGGATCAGGCTCATTAAATCAGTTTTGTGCCTCCACTCTACAAGGTCAGGCTAAGACAGTTCATCACCTCCAATAGCCAGCTATGGTTCTCCCAGCACCCAGCAAAGCCCAAACTAACCTGAACCATGGCTTCCTTCATAACCTGCAGGTTCTTCCGTGGAAAAATTCCGGTCTCATAGAAGGATAGCCGCTCCTCCACTTGTTCTCGAAGCTTCTCCCCAAATACACTTGTGGGCACCTCTGAATGTATGTATGTGTAGGGGTGAACAAAGCCTGTCAGCTCCTAAAGGGACAAACTACTCCCCATCCCCAGTATTTTCCTCTATCCTCAGCTTCACTCAGACCCAAAGTATCATCACTCACTAGGTGAACTGCTGTTGACGAAAAATGTTACCATCATAGTAGAAGCTAAGGTATTGAGGTTCCCCTCCCTCCCAGCCCCTTCTCACAAATGCCAACACCCCACCCATACCAGAAAAGCAATCAATTCGTGAGGCAATACTGCATTTGTTTGCCAGGTATCGGGAGATGCGGCCTTTGTTCTTGGCAGCTGCTCGGCCAATGAAGGTGGAGTGGAAAATGAGTCCATATTTTGGGGTGTTACCCCTTGTCTTCAGGGCTCTGGGAGAAGAATATTCAGCAAAGAGTTTAAGATCAGAAATTTCAACCCTATTAGCCAAGGCAGCTCCTTTCCTCCCCTCCCCTCCCGTGTCTCCAGAGTGAGCCTCCGGCTAGGCTGGGTCTCTATCCCGCCTCATGCAAACCCACAGCTCCCAGAGACAGAGGGAAGGCATCCAATGTCGCTGACCTGGAAACTCGGTCCCTTTGCTGGGCCCTGGGAATCACTCAGACACCAGGACTGGCCATCACCCCCATAGCAGAGGCCTGTATAGGTCAGGAAGCCCTGGTCAGCCATCACTGTGATCCCCAAACAAGCAGTGGGCACCAGAAGTGGTACCTGAGTGTGGGCAAGTGCCCTCACTGGTACCTGAACAGGGCCTTTTCAGCCCCAAGGATCTGCACTGTGGATGCTGGATACTTGGCCAGGTTGGTGAGGCTGCCAGCATGAGCAATGAGACGTGCGCCTACCTGAAAAAGGATTCAAGGAGTTAGTCACAGAAGCCGGAATTGCCAGCCTACCGATTGCATATGCTTTGCCTCCCCGCTTCAAGTGCAACTAAGTAAGATATGGTGAGTCAAGAAATACAGCAACATGGATATACATGGTAACATTCCTTAATCCCATTTTTTCCATTTCCCCTGACGCACCGCTTCCCCAATTAGGGCTGACAGGCTGGGGGCTACTTGGCTCATCTTGGATCGCAGATAAGTGTGCAGGCTCTGGCGGTACTCTGACAAAGACACCACACGATTGGAGAAACTCTCGATGTTTATCAAGTCTATGGCTGATATGTCCATACCTGGAGGACACCAAGTGTGAATGCTGGAGCCAGATACTCTAAGGCCCATACCTTATTTTGGCTGCCAGGATCTGTACTGACCCATGGAGGACCGCGAGGCATCCAGAATAGCCTTAGCCTTGGCCCCATCCATTGTTAGCTCCTCCAGCTTCTCCAACTTTTCTTCATTCAGCTCTCTCCGGTTCCCAATGAACTGAGCAAGGCGGCAGTACGTAGCATTGTCATTGATGATCTTCACCAGTTCAGGAAAGTGATACCCGTACCACTCCCTGCAAAGAGCCACAATGAATCCCCGGCCCAGCTGCCATGTCTGAAAGTTACAGCCTCAGCTCTCCCCACATCTACTCTTTGCTTGGAGGAAGTCAGATTCCGAACCTCAACTCCATGTGCCCCCATTCACAATACAGACCAAGCAAAGGGCCTGGGCTGAGGTGTATATGGGGTATGTTTACTCTGCCTCCTCTTTCTGTACAGTCTGTAAGAACACAGCCTGTGGTAAGCACTGGGAGGCCCGGACCCACCCCAGAGTTCTACCCACAGGAGCCAGTCCTCATCTCAGGATTCAAAATATTAGCTAAACCACAGGCCACAGACCCCATTTCTCCAGGGTCGCCCCTGCACTTTACCTGACACGCATGGAGAAGGTATTGATGTCCTTATCCAGCTGGTCCAGAAGGCTAATGGACTGGATAATCATATTGTCCACCCGGTTCACATTAAACTTAACTTTGGCACGAGAATAGCTGTGTCCCAGCCCCAGCTGGGCTTTACAAGCAGACACATCGGTCAGACCCTTCACCAGGTTGTGGAAGTGCAGACGAACTCCTGGAGGAGGGCAAGACTATGAGCAGAGAAGGGCTCTGAGCTAGCTCTTGCACCCATGGGCACCAGCCAAGCAGGAAGGCTTACCAGAAGCAACCTTAAGTGACCTTGTTTTCAGAAACCCCCTCAAAGATGTCAAGATGGCATGAATGTTAACACGTAATAGTCTCACCTCGAAGGATCTCAGCTATCACGCCTCCAGTCTGGCAAGTGTACCCTAACTCCTCTTGTATAGCAGCACCAATCTTGGGGTCCCCAACCCCCAAAAGTACTTTCTTCTTTTTGGATGGCAGGTGAGTCTCCAAGAGCAGGCGGAGGTCCTCATGAACAACACCTTAGGGCAAAAAAACAGAGGCCCCACTAACAGACTGAAGGATGCTTAAATCATAAAAGGGATCCTGTCCCCTCAACTGCTGATTAAGTGACAGACCATTCTTAGACTGGTCCAGCAGAGCATGCTGGGATGGCATGCCTAGACCCCTCTCCTTCAGGCTTTGCTCAGAGACATGGAGACATCAGTAATTGCACTCAGTGGATTGACAGATTCGAGTCATCACTGCAAAGCCTGCATCAACCATGTGAGGAACTCGGGTCCAATACAAGTGTGAAATGCATAATTGAAACCTTAAAACATCCTAGAGCACCAGCACTATAAAAGTATTTAGCTCCTGATTTGCCTTCTGGGAACAAACCTTTTCCTTGGCTTTTATGTATCAAAGTTGCTCTTTCCAGTCAATTAAAAACAGCAGAGAACATGTGATAAGAGTTTAGCACTGAACTAGTCCCATCTCCACCAGATTTCATTTATCATTAGTGTCCATAAGGTAAGACTGCATATTTGATTGTGTGCTTTAAATACATTTAGTCTATACCATATTCCTTAGACCTTGAGCTCTGTGAAGTTATTTTAAATTACATTCTGTACACATCAAATACCATCCAGAACATATCAGATCTAGAATAAGCCAAGGAAAGGCAAATGCTATCACAATTTCTCTAGAAGGAACTATACAGTAGCAGGAATTATAATCTCATCTTACTTTCTGAAATACTTGGAGGTGGCCAACTCACCTTCAGACACAGCGTTGGCATTTTCCAAGGCAACCTGGGACGAGGCAAAGGGGCAAAAGGCCACGAGACGAACGATGTTGTGGAACTTGCCTAGGTTAAGTACGCACTCCTCCACCTAGGGGGGAGAAGGATAAGTGACTTCTTTCCCTTGCTCTTGCCTCTAGGGCGCAGTAAAGCAGCGGTTCTCAGCCCTGGGCGTAAATAAGAACCAACAGAACGCTTTAAGAATGAACCGATCACTGGCCCTAAATTTTGGTTCTGCTTCATCAGTACGGGGTGGACTGCGGAAGGCTTACTTCTAAATGCTTCTAACGCGATTCTAATCACAAATACTGGTTAAGAACTCCCTGCTCTGGAGCTTTCAGGCCCAGCGCACCCCCAACCCTCTCAGCCGGCCACGTGTGAGCGCGCGGTGCATGCTGGGGCCCGTGCCGCCCGCAAGCCCACCGCTTTCACTCACCTGCGGTAGCAGCAGGCTTATCTCCTCCACTTCCTTTAGCGCCAGGAGCGCGTAGCCAACCGCGTGCTCGAAGAGCACGTGCAGCAGCACCTGAAAGAGGAGCCGGGGCAGCAGCGTCAGCGCAGTCCCTGCGTCCGCCCGGTCCCGCTCCTAAAGCAGACCCCCGTACTAGCCCGGGCTTCGGCCCGGACCCAGGCCCAAAACGCGGCCTTCGCCTCTATCTCCTGCCGGAACCACTACTCACCATGGCGCCCGCTGCTGGTCCGACTCGCAATGCGGCGAGCGGGTTCAGGCGCGCGGGACTAAGCTCTGGAGGCCACGCCCCCGCGCCTCTAGCCAATCATAGGCCGGGGACCGTACCTTTCCTGGCCTTCGGAGGGGTGTAGGAGTGGTATAGCCCAGCGAGCTGTCGGGGTGGTGCTGGCGCGGGCAAGCGGTTCTTTTCCGGCTATTGCTGCGGCGTGGGCAGACGCTGTTTCCCAGGGCGCGCGGGCCGCTGCTGGGTCACTGCAGGCTGCAAAAACGGTTTGGAAAAACGCTTTTCTGGTAATAGTGCAGGCCCTCATGGGTTCATCATATAAATTACGGGCCGTAGAGCTAAGGTGAAATCCGGTCTGCGTGCCCAAGCAGAAACTTGTGGACCCCGCTTTCCGCAGCGCGGGTGACCTTGCACCCCACTACCCCCAGGACCCTCTTGTGCCCGCCTTCCAGAGCCTGGTGGGCTGCGCACCATTTCTTCCTCACCCGGGCAGAAGCAGGGTCTGGGGCGCGCAGACCCTGAGAAAACGTCACTCCTCGTGGCTGGTTTAGTGCTTTTAAATTGTCTTTTACCTATTATTTTTTTAAAATGACGTGACAGGCGATAAAGTGGGAAAGACGATTCCACCTCTTCCCAGGTCGATTTCCTGTTCCCCTTGAGCAGAACCCAGCTCCTCTTGGGGGACCACGTGTTGCTCACCCTTTTGAAAAGCTTTTAAATTAACACCCAGTTAGCTCAAAGTGAATTGGAGCTGCTGCCCTATGCACGAGAGTGGCTTTTCTACACTCAGGGGACTCTAGGAATTACCTTTGCTTTAATAATATTAAAACTTTACCCTAAAGTGGTATATATGCTGTAAATTTTTAAAAAATCTTTGGGGATTTTTATAACTTAAATTCTCATAACTAAAGTATATTTATAAATTTAATTTATTTTCTTCTTAAACAATTCAGTTACTTGACAAAATCCAAGTACTGAGCCCACTCTTAAAACCTAAAATGTAAACTTAAAAATGTGGTTGATAAACCTTAAAATCTCATAATCTCAATAGTACTTGCAAACGTGGTTAAATTGTTACATATATCCACTTACAATCATGAATTTGAATTAGTTACTCCATTTCACATTTTCAAATGGAGTTGCAAAAATAATTATTATTAAATTCTCCAAAACATAAATACCAAAGTAAATAGATAGTTCCAAAATGTAATGGAGAGTATTAATGCTATGACTTTGATCCTAAATATTCCTGGGGTTACCGGTGCTTATCTACTAAGGTAGAGGTTTTTAAGAAGTCGAATCCATTAATGGATTGCAGAATTAATTTAGACTTTCTTGGCCAGCATTAAAAAAACATGAATAGGAAATAATTGTCACACAGAGAATGAGGTATTGATTTGTAAACCTTTTGTCTCAGCTAAACACATATACATGTGTATATAAATATACACATGCATGTAAAAATATATATGCACACATATCTAGTATATATGTATATAAATCATATAAACACATTTCTGTGGATTAAATACAAAAAGCCCGAGAATCACTGAACTGAAAGCTAACCACAGTTGTATTTGGTTAGATAAATCTGTATCTGAGTCTGAAAGCATGAGAACCAGGAGCACCAATGTCCAAGAAGAGGAGAAGATGGATGTCTCATCTCAAACAGAAATAGAACTAATTTGCCCTTCCTTTACCTTTTGTTCTGGCAGTTGAAGGATTGGGTGATGCCCACCCACATTTGGGAGGGCCAACTGCTTTACTCAGTTCTATTCAAATGCCTATTGTATACCAGGTATCTTTAGGTGCAGGGATACAGTAGTAAGCAAACCAAGTCACCAAGTTTACATTCTGGGGTGAAATGGAAAATCAAATAACTATGTCGTGCATCAGGTGTTGGTAAGTGTTAAGGAATGGTGCACTCTATTTTATAGAGGCCCTCAGTGAAGAGGTGACATTTGAGCAGAGATCCTTAAGCAAGGGAGTAAGCAATGCAGAGATCTGGGGGAATAATGAAAACAATGGAAAACTAACCTTTAACCTCTGACTTCAGAGACTTTATAATCCTGGGAGATTGAACATAACCAAGTGCTGAAATGCAATAGTAGGGAAGGCTAACTGGAAGACAATTTGGGGGGCCAGAGCTCCTGAGGAAGACTTAGCATTGCCAGAATACTTCAATTCCGTATTTATGGAAGAATGTGTAAGTCATTAACGGAGGAAGGAAAGAAAGTAGAAGCAAAAGCCAGAAGCAAGAGAAGAACCTGCTAGAGGTCTAAGATTCATTCTGGTCAGTAGTTGGATAGAAGATTGAAGGATCTAGTACATAAAATCTAGAACATAAGCCTTGAGTGAAGGCCAAGATGACTGGCTTGGGTCTGATAAGACTCTTATTCACCATCAAGCAGTGTTTGGAGATTAGTTTGGAGATGATGTGCAAGATAGATTTCTCAAAAACTTCCAGCTGAGAAAATGTCCTGCATGGGCAGCAGGGCTGAGAGGGTGCTTTGGGTTTCCCAGGAATGTTCCAGATGCAAGCTTTAAAGCCACATGGCACTTGGGGCCTTTTCTTTATAGATAGGATATTTACCCATTGAGAAGGATCGTACACTGTAGCATCTGTTCCTCTTTTATTTAGTTCAGTCTATGGCTTACTCTGACATTTTGATGTAAATTAACTCAGAGTTTTTACTCTATACAATGGGCAACACTAATGGAGACCTATGGAAATGGAATGTGCTACAGTCATGTGCCACATAAGGACAGACCTTATATGCGGTGGTGGTATGCCATATAACCTAGGTGTGTAGCAGGCTATACCATCTAGGTTTGTGTAAGTGCACTCTGTGGTGTTTGCACAACAAAATTTCCTAATGATGCATATCTCAGAACATATTCCTGATGTTAAACTGAACATGACTGTTTAAATTCCAGTGACTAGGGAGAGCTTCAGGAAAAGAAATTGCATGAAACAACCAAAAGATGGTGGCACTTGACCCTCATTTAGCGAATGAGAAAAACCCCATCAAATTGGAAGGGCTCCTAACAATTCCTTAGCCTTTTTCTCAAATGTTGAAAGAAACCATGCAACAACAGTCTTTGGTAATGAGTTACACATATATGCAACATTTCTTTCCATAGACACAAAGGAGTGAAAAGCATCCGAGGAAGACCATCTAGCCCAGCATTCCTTGACTTTTTTGGACACAGCTAACCACAGTCATTATTTTGGTTATGACTCTGAAGCCCAGAGTTGATTAGGATTATAGGATAAAAGTTTTGTTTAGTTGATGATGTTTGTATTCATAACCTGAGCCTGAGGATATTTAATCTTATCCATGCCTGTGATAATATCTGTAATTTATTGATCACTTAGCATAAGTCTTACATGTGTCAACTTGTTGAATCTTCATAACAGAATTTGGAGGTTGTGTTTATAGGACTCATTTTCCAGACATGGTTTGGTGGTGGAGATACTTGTATGCTCTATATACCTCATGTGCCCCAACCATGATCTTGGGCCTTTCTTTACATTTTCCAACCTAATACTGCATTGAAGAATAAATTATCTGGCATAGTACTGCAGACAGCTATCTTTAATAGAAATTCTCAGCACTCAGAAACAAGCCCAGCATACAAAACTGGATTGTACTCCCACACCTGGTGATTTTGCCCTTGAGATTGTATTTAAGTTTTTGTTCCCTAGAAACCAAAGGGATAAAGTCCCTACCATCCTATCCTTAGGTTTTAAAGGTATCTCTTGGAAATAGCATGTGGATTTTTTAAATGTTCATCTGATTTTTGTTTTCTACCTGGATGGTTTTGTCCATTTGCATTTATTTTGATTCCCAATATATTTGATTTCTGTCCCCTTCCATCCTTTCTATTTGTTTGTTTGTTTGTTTGTTTGTTTCCTCCTATCCACCCCCCCACCCCATTTTCTTGGAGGTACTATTAACTAAGATCACTTTAAATTAAAAATTTCCATTTGAGTTTTTTGAGCCTACAGTTGGTATGGGAAATTCAGTTCTCTGTCTGAGGGCTGTCTTGTGGATATCAGTTCTCAAGGGAGAATTTTTCTCCACTTATGCCAAAATCAAGAGAGACAAATGTCCCTTTCTGCATGGCTGGTTTATTTCTTATTGTTCCTTACAGAGCATGAGGGACTTTGGTGCCCCAGCTGTGGGTGGGGCTCTACAGAGCATATCTGAAGTGACTACTGAATTAAGGATCACCAGTGTAGTGGTGGATGCTATTGGTACCCTGCCCTGGTTCCCCTACTGGCTGGTGCATCGCTCCCCAGTTTCTGTAAATGTGCCAGTCATGGGGAGATCAGGTGACCCCTTTGATCTTCACCAAAAGTGTGTTCCTACTTATGTGATTCTGTGTGAAATGGAGCTCTTTATGGACATTGAGCATATAGATTATTAGAAATGAAAGGATCTTCCTGCAAAAATAGCTTCTGACAGATAAAATAGTGTCTGTTTTATTTCCGCTTAGTAAGTAATACACAGACAAACTAGGGTAATATCAGTAAGACACTAGCCGTAATTCTCTGGATAAATTGTTAAATAGACTTTCTAGTTCAAATCATTCTTAGGAAAACTGAGGAAAGAGAGAAAGAGAAGGGAGGCAGAGGGAGGGAGAAAGGGAGGAAGAAAGGACAGAAGGAAGGAAAGAGAAGGAAGGAAGATGTTCTTCATCCCTGATGGCCCCTGGACAGGCTAAATAGTGAAGTTATGAGATGGAATGACCTGGAAGATCAAACTGGAGAATGCAGAGATGGTAATCTAATATGACCCGGCTATAAAGCCATACCACATCAACACCCTTCCTCTCTTACCTGTGCTTTCCTCCTCTACCCATCTCCCTAGCTCACCAGAAGTTTCCTTGCTTCAGGATCCCAGAAGTCACCATTAACTAATCCTCTGATGGATGTCTCTTATAAAAACTTTACAGTTTTCTTGATAGAGGTTTTGTAACTATTTGAATTAGGAAATCTGTTAAAATATGTCAAAAATTCTTTGATAAACACCCCCTTCAAGAGATACAGCCTAATCTTCCTTTTGAGTATGTGCTAGACTTAGTGACTCACTTCTAATGAGTAGAAAGTGGTAGAATAAATGGTGTAACTTCTGAAACTAGGTTAGAGAAGGCATTGTGATTTCCTTCTTGCTCTCTCTCTCGGATCACTTGCTCTAGGGGAAACTAGTGGCTATGTTGTGAGGACACCCCATCAGCCCTATGGAGAGGTTCGCATGGGTAGTAATCAAAGTCTCCTGTTAGCCAGCAAGGATGCAAAGCCTTTCGCTAATAGCTATATGTGTGCGCCATCCTGCAAACAGATCTTCCAGCCCCAGTCAGGTCTTCCAATGGCTGTTGCCCTGCCTGAGATCTTGACTGTGCTATCCAGAATCAGAACTGCCCAGTAAAGCCACTCTCAAATTCTTGACCCACAGACACTGTATGAGATAATAATGTTTATTTTTTTAAGCTATTAAGTTTGGGGAACAATTTGTTGTGCAGCAATAGATAGCAAATAAATTCCCTCACATAAAATTATGCCTCATCAGAACAGGATAATTTGTGTTTATGGTAGATGTTTAGGTGTATTGATAGCCATCAGAAACCTGACAGTGATCACTAGGAGGCTGGTGACTCAGGCCTCTTGTTCGCTTCCCCAGGGGCTGGCAATATTCTCAGGCAGGATAACTTGAAGGCCAACCATCGGTGTGGTGGCCATCTTTGGGCCTTCCAGCCCTAATTAGCTGGGTTAGATCTCCTGGTCCAGGTCTCAGGTTAGCTCAGGGCTATGGGTGTGTCCTTCCAGAAGAAGGCATATAATAGACAAACATTTTTGGATTTGGGTTTGGATCTCCATTCCATGGAGATGAGGCATCAGCCTCATCTTTAGCCTTGCCTGGATCTGGACAGGGGTGAAATAATTTATCATTTCTCTCAGTCACATGTCCCCATTCCCATTCCATCCAGGTTGTGTGAAGTTTTGGTGCTGGGTCAGGAAGGAGAAAGAATTGGAAGGGAAGTTGGAAATTATCCTAACTGTATAGCTTATGAAATCTCTATAAAATCTCTACCAAGACTTTGCTTGACTTCCAGGATGTGAGGAATTCTCCTGAGAACCTCTGGGGACATGGCTTGGTGGTGACTGAGGGAGAGGATTCCCTTCAGAACACTCAGAGACATTGGTGAGATGATCCCTTGATCTCGAAGCCACATGTTCACCTGGGTCTGGGAGCATGGGGTAGAGGAAAGGGGGGAACTGCCTACAAGGTACCTGGGCAGTGGAAGGGTCCTGGACTGTGACCGTGCTAAGCCTTTGCCCTTGTTGGCAAGGCCTCTCAATGGTCTGGCCTTCCCAGCTTATGCCCCCTAGGAGTCATTCTGTATAGAGCCACACATGACACTAGGTGAACATAGAACCACCAGAGACAAGGCTTTGCATTGCACCCTTTACAAAACTCAAAGAAACCACCTTCAAGTCCCTTATACAATAAGCAGGCTATCAAATTCCTTTAGAATTTGGTGCATGAGAAAGATATTTCTGCCTTGGGCAATCTTTTAAGTTTCTTTCAATCAGATAAGAAGAACTAGGCTACTCACTGCTCCTTCCTTGCCTTGCTGCTAGGAGGGCTCCAGTGCATTCTTGGTGCTTAAAGGCACCAGCTTGCCTCAGACTGGGTCCTGACTGGGCTTAGACTGGGTATCACCATCTTTCCACTCACCATAGCTGGACTTTGGTTCATTTACTTTTATTTTCGGTAGCTTCTTGTACCTTTATTTTAACTACCTCACTTCCTTTGGATAGAGGGGATAGTCAGGAATGTGGGCACCTCTGCACCCTCCTGGTTGGTGGAGCTGGCAGAAACCTATGTCCCAACATGGGTGCCGTGAAAAAAAGTCTTATGCTAGTGGTCGTGGCCTTGACCCCTCCTTTCATAGTCTGGAGACAAGGGAAACCACCATGAATGCAAAGTCCAGAGCTACCTGAATCAAGATACTGGGAAGGATGGTTATGGGGTAGCAGATGGCTCAGCTCCCCTAAAGGGCAGACGAAACCATTTTCCTCTCCTTTTTGTAACTACAAGGGCCTGAGATTAAGTAATCAAACTTCCCATGTTCAGAAAAAGGAGAGAAAATGTGCGTGTGTGAGAGGAGAGAGGAAGAGAGAATACCAATTTGGGTGTGTGAGGTGGTGGGGCCCGAGGACCAGCCCCTAGATGGCGCTCCTGTGAGTCCCAGCTGTCACTGGGGAGGTCTCTGGGTACTCTTTCTAGAAGCGGATCTTCCAGGATGAGTCTGAGGCTGGGGTTGGCCAGAATCTGATCTGATGCCAGGCGGCTGAGATATAGGGAGGTGCCTGGAGGCAGGCAGCATGGTCCTGCTAGCAGAACTGCAGGTCCCAGGGCCCTGAGCCTTCTTGTCCAGGGTCTGGCTTTGGCTGGTAGAGTGAGGCGTGGTACCTGTAAAAAGAACCAAAACAAGAATGAGGATGTGGGAGAATTTGCTACAGTTTCCTAGTATTGAACTGGAGCCCTCTGGAGCTGCCCTGCTCTGTACGTAGATTTCAGTCCTATTCAGTGATATGAGAAAGGTCAGATCACCCTCAGGCATCTGGGGACACTGTGTGAACGGATTTGCTGCAGAAATATGGTCTTGGAGAACTAGATTTTGAATGCTAGCCTTAAGCTTGATTCTCTGAGCCTAGGTTTTCTTGGGTATAAAATTGGGACAATAATAACAGCCTCACAGGTGGCTGCCAGGGTCTAATATGACGATGGAAGGGGCTGTGTAAACTGCGATCAGATCCAATTTTTAGCTTTTTAACTTACTTCTTAACCCCTCCCCTTACTCCAAATTAGGGGCAATTACTGTCTTGTTCTTCAAACCCAGTTCCTGGGACATAGGAATTGACTAAATTCCCACTGTGGATGGATGTGGCCCATGACAGAAGTCCAGGCTCTGATGTATATCACTTCCAGGTTGTCCTCTAGACAATTCTCCTTGCACTAGTTTGATGCAGGCAGAGTCACAGGATGGAAGGAACCAGGATCATCACTTGGGAAGAAAGTGACCATCAGGTAGAAACACCCAATTTGGACTAATATTGCATGAAAAGTAAACTTTTATTGTGTTTGAGCCATTAGCTGTTTGAGGTTCTTGAAGTATTCACCTTCAAGAAGAGGAGCAAAGTGAGGGCAGCAATAGAGGCTATTGGAATTTTCCAGGTTAAATGTCGACCATCTTCCTAAGCTCTCCCCTGTACTTAGTCCCACTGATGTGTTTGGATAACACTTTCACTTAAAAAATCAAATACTGCAGTACTGATTAATCAGTATACAACTGAAAGAGCTTTAGATCTGTAATAAAAACAAATTTGGAGAAGGGCAGACTTTAAAACAGCAGCCAGTAAAGAAAGCAGAGAAAGGAGTGGGTAAGGTGGACAGGTACGTTGGGACTCTGGGGACGTGAACTGACCACTGTCAAACCAGTGTAAGTTTCTTGGTTTCTCACAGAAAACATTTTATACACCTATTTTTCCTTCCATACCCTAAGTCCATCAGCATCCAAAGATGTCCGTTCCATTTTTTGTTTTGTTGGTAATTACAACAAAATATTGCATTTACTCCATTTCTTGAAATGTGTGGAAAATTAGGTGATTTCAAATAGTTTCCTCAGCTCCACAATGAGCTGCCAGTCACTCTTACGCATTTCGTCTGTGAACCAGTCTTTGAGGCTGTCAATGGACTGCTGGCTTATATTACTGACAAGAATGGGTTTAGCTTCCAAACATCTTCCATACATTTTGGGAGACTCACCAGGGATGAGTTCTATTTTGACAGACTTTTGTCCTCTTTTTGCAACATCCACTTGTTTACTTATTACCTTATCAGCAGCTTGTTACTATTCCAATATCAACAAGATGTTTGCTAGGGATGTACACTGGTGGCCCTTGTTCCTCCTGACTTTCCACAGTCATTCCTTTCACTGGTGGATCTCGAGAGTTGAAAATAAACTGATGGAGGATTTTCATGTTGCAGAGAAATACTGCTATGTGTTTAAATTCTTGTTTCTGTTTCTTGTAGTCTTGCCTATATGTTTGTTGTAAAGGCATCAAATAAATGATAAATAATTTCTGCACTAAAAATTCTAACTCCTAAACTATCAGCCATTTCTTGTGCATCTTGTTCAATTCTTACACCAAAGGCCAAAATCCCAGCATCCTGACACTTTAATTTTAAAGCAGGGACAATTCTTGGAAAATGAGATCACCTCAGAGATGGTCTCTTTCAATTTGACCTTTCCTCACTCTCAAGGTGGAGATGGTTTTTGATTAGTCCCCTTCAAAGCCCTGTGACACTTTCTTTGGAATGTATGTGGCCATTTCTCATCCTTTTAATTTAGATATTCCAGTGCTTTTCTTTTTAAAGCGAATACAAATATGTAGCAGCTGCTATGTGTAAATCTCCCTATTCCTTCTCCTAAAGAAATAATTCAAAACAACATAGAAAACAATACCTCCCCCAACCCCAGGTAGCTGTGATCCATGTCAGCCAGCACGTCGAGCATCTTAAAGAGGTTGGGGTGGGACACCAATAGTGCTCCTACATTGCATTTAGTAGCCAGGCATTAAGTGGTTATGACATGGGAACTGACAGACCCAGAAGAGAAAGTGAAGAAGCCAAAATCCTAAAGAAGAACAATCACCACAGACAATGTCATGAGAGACTTGGAGGATAGAAATGAGTGAGACAACCTTGCAGGACAAGTGGTGGTATTTCCCCACTTTACAGAGACTCTTGTACCTCCTCCTCCCAGCTCATATTCATTGGTCCTTTCTTTGTGCCAGGAATTCTGTAAAGCACTTTACACGCTATGATTTATCCTTATTTTAACTGGCCCAGCTTTATACAGCCAATAATCATCTGAATCTATTCTAATCTCAGATCTGCCTGATTTAACAACATAGGTTCTTACACCTTTCCATGTGGCCTTGTAGGAAGTAGTTGTCATGAAATAGAATTTACCTGCTTTGGTGAGTTGAAGCTGGGTGGCATTTTTGGAGCTGCCTTTAGCTGTGTCCTCTGAATCTCTGGCTGTGGCTCTGCCTTTGACAGATTTGTGGCTCTTCTCAACTTCACGGAGCTGCAGGAAAATATTAGCAGTTGGTCCTGGCCAGGGAAATGGGTGTGAGGCTCAGGATGGTGAGATCTAGAAGGCAAGGACTCTGTCTTCAGTTCTTGGGAACTACCTTAAATGGCCTGTTGTTAGTCCTCATGACTGACTGGCCAGGGCAGCAGCAGCCTGAGACTCAGGTTTGCACAGTATTTGAAGGAGCATCTGGCCCAGGGAGGGAGGGATGGGGACAGAAGCTTTCCATTCCTCTAGTTCAATGGTTTTCTTTATCTGGGCAGGAGCCTTGTAAGATAAGGAAGTGGGGGGAGAGGCATCGAGGAAGCAAGGAAGATGGCCTAAGTTGGGTCCCCCATCTATGGAGTGTAGGGGGCGGGGTGGGGGCTGGAAGAGCAGACCCCAAATAGCCTCAGGATATAAATGCATGCTGTAGAATCTCACGTGGCTGCTTCCTATTACACATATTTTTGAATTTGCTTTAGAAGGCCATTTAGAGTATACAACTGGGTTCACAGAGAAAATTAGCAAAAAACAAAAACATGACATCTTTTACTTTCCAGAATAAAGCTTGTGATGGACTCACCGCTTGGATTTTCTTCCTCAGTTGGGCATTAGCTCGGGAAAGGCTTTTGGAAACTGAGTTCAGGTAGTAGATGGCCAGGCTGCAAGAAAGAAGCATGCCTCCTGTGGTACTGCAATCTTGGAAAATGATGAGCTGGATGCCCTTCTGGAGAAATCAAGGCATGCTTCCTGGAATCGGTGCCAAGGCTTTTGCCTCTGGAATGGGTGGAGTGAGATCCTACCGTCCCAAGTTCCCCACTTAATGTGGAGAAGGTCCAGAACATCCCCGCTCGCTAGCTCTCTTTGATTGAACGTGGACATGACCTACGCATTTCTAGATCTCAGAGTGCTTGATAAAGGTTGGCTTAGGGAATCAATCATCCCTCTTCTGGGAAATCTAAAGAGGTGGGGGAGTGGCAGGGTTTCTTGTCTGCACAAGAAACTGTATTTCCTGGGCACCTGCCCTGTGCCAGGCTCTGTGCCATGTGCGTTGCACCTCACACCTGACTGGTTTTGATGGAACTCCATGAAGTAGAAATGATGACTCCCATCTTTACGGATCAGTATCCTGGAATTCAGAGAGGTTAAATAATTTGTCCAAAGTCACCTCATCTTTGGTATTCCTCAGAGTCCACATTTGAAGCTAAAGCTCTTTTCACAATCTTCAAGTGCTCAGAGAATCAAAGGTGCTAAGTACCTGCTCCAAGTTTGCGTAGAAACACAACTGCAGACGCCCTGGAGGTTCCTTGCTCAGGGTGCACTGAAGGGAATGTCTGTCCTGGGCTGGTGACTTTCAGAGTCCAGCCCCTACTAGCTGACTGGGTGTCCTTTGAGGCTGTAGTTGCTCTTTTACAGGACCTACACTCTGGGCTACGACCTGGACTGTATCACTTGTGAACTGAGGGGTCACAAAAGCCAGGGTGCTACTTGGATTAGCTGTTCTGCTAGCCTGTTGCCTGGGAGCTTTTTAGGTTCATCCTAATTGTCACTTTTCTCCATGAATTTCAAGCCTTAGCTACTCTTCTGAGCCTTCCCCCCGGGATGGGGCCACCCATACCCACTTCAGTGTCTACAAGTTCTCTGCATACAGAGAAGAGGAATCATACTGTCTTTGGGGCAGAGTGTGGGTCAGAGGCTGTCATGTGAACCTCGAAACAAAGACTCAGAGGACTGTGGGTGAAAAGAGGAGTGAAGAGTGAAGAGAGGACAGGCAAAAGGACCACAATCTGTTTTGGTACTTACTCTGCCCCATGCCTTGCCCTCTTTCCTAATTAACAACCATTAATTAGGGAGGAACTACAGGTCAGAGAAGATAAAGTGCTTATGGGTGGTTGTGTTGGCCTTGAAGCTGTTTCCAAATTTAGTATTTCCCCTCACTGCCTGCAAGGGTCAGGTTTGGTGTATGGGTTCCAGAATTTTCTCATGTGGTCACAGCGCAGTCCAGGTTGTCATATCATGTCAGCCCTCTCTCATGCCAAGACTAGAAGTGGAGGATGTTTGAAATTGAGGATGTGAGGAAATATACCTACTTTGGAGAGAGTAATTCAAGCACTAGCTAAAAAGAATAAAGAAACACATACCTATGATCCAGCAGTTCTACTTCTAGAAGTCTAAGAGAGACTCACATTTGCACAAGAGGACATATATAAGGAGCGCATTAACAATAGCAAAAAAGTGGAAACAACCTAACTAGGTCTGTGCAGAGAAACAAATAAACTAATTTATTCATTCATACAATGAAACACAATAGAGGCATTAAAATCTGTGCTCACATAGCCACATGGTAAGTCCCCCAAACACTGTTGAATAAAGAAAGCTATGTAGTATGAACCAAAGTTTAAAACTCAAAAATAATAGTACATACACGTGATAAAAGTACCAAAATATGCATGGAAATGATTAAAACTAACCCAAATAGTGGTTACCTTTGGAGAGGGAAGAAGAAGGATTGGGTAGGGCTCGAAGTGTATAACATTTTATTTCTCTTAAAAAGAGAGACAGATCTGAAGCAAATATTGCCAAATGTTAACACCTGTTTAATCTTGTGATCACGTAATTTTCTGTAGGTCAGGAATATTTCATAATTTGAAGAAAGCATGTCCAAATAGGTATTTATAAAGGAAAAACCTAATTTTCACAATACATTTTTGATCACAGTAATTCAAATTTAGGACTTGCTTCCCGCCTTCTTTTCCTTCTTAGTTTCCTCCTTCCTTGAGCATTCATTGTTTGCCTACTATGAGGCTGTTGTGAATATAGAAATCATCAGACCCACCCACTGTCCTCAGGGATTTCTCAGTCTTTGAGAGGGATAGTGGTGAATGGTGATGTTTCACTGCACAGGGTGCTCTGTAGAGAAGCCCCGTGGGCCCAACCAAGGACAGACTGCATCGGCCCCTCAGCTTTTGCAGAGACTCAGAGCCCAGAGATCTTTGATATTTCTTGTGAATGTTTAGGAGGGTGTTGCAGATGCTGTCAGTACTCACTCATAGTCCTTGGCCCCTGTCTTTCAGTGTGCTCCCTGAAAGACTTGCAACTGCCAATACCTTCACCTCTGTGCCAGAGGCTTCCCTTGCATCCCCCTCCACAGAGACCATTCCACCCAGGAACACAGCTGACCCAAATTGCTGGGTAATGAACCAATACTTCTCCCCTCCCACATCTCCCAGTAGTACTCAACTTTGGGCACAAATGCCCCAGATCCCTCATCCTTGAGCAGGGTAACTTGGAAGCACACTATTTTCCAGAGTTCTCCAGGACTAAAGTCTTCAAGTGGTAATAAAACACCTTTCTATTCCTTTTGTCTGTCTTCCCTACCACCCTCCCAATAAGCTACTTGCATGTGAATCTTTGTCTCAGGATCTGCTTCCGGGCAATCCACGCTAAGAGGGCGTGACGGAGGGACCTGCTGAGGAAGTCTCAACTGCAAGGGGGAGGTTCCCATGAGGCAGAGCCATGGGCCCTGGCTAACTTACAACATCAGCAGGATGGCTGGAATGATCAGGCCTGGATTGGCGAGGAAAGCAAAGATCTTGCCCAGGAAGGTTGGGAAATCGTTTTCAACTGTCTCTTGGATGATGTCGTACATTCTGTTTTTCCCACTGGAAAGAAGAGAGGATACGTTACAGGCCCCGCAGGTCCAAAGGTGTCACTCACCACTGCTTTCCTGAAAGAGCCGGAGCTCTGCTCCAAATGGACTGCAAGTAAAAAGTTCCCCAAGAGGGGCTGCCATTTTGGTAAGGGATCAGAGCTAGGACAGTGCTCTGGCTTGCCAGCTTCCTGTCCTTGGTACCTCACAACTTCTCAAACTGCATTGACGTCCTGTGTCTAATATCTTCCTCATCTTCTTATACTCTCATGGGAGAAAATATGATCACAGTGCTTCCTCTAGGAACCCTGCATAGAAACAGTTCTCCAGAGGCTGATGGACAACCTCATGGTGCCTCTCAAAAATACTTACAATTAGTCTTCAGGTTATAATTCCAGGAAATTGGATTGCCAACCCCTGATCAACATTTTACATAAGAGAAAAATGAAATTTCTAACTGTGACATTTTGGAGAGCACTTTTAATTTGACAGTCCCATACTCAATGTTTTATATGAATTTATAACAATTTCCTGGTCAGTTCACAGCCCTAATTTTTATTTTCTTTGAATACCTAAGAACTACTATGTAGACTGACTTCCACAAATGCCTGCCCAGAGATCACTGGCCACTGCTTGCTTTTGGTTGGTAGTTTTGGTGCCAAGAAGTGGACTTTGGGGTTGAAATTCCCAGTTCAAATTTTTGCTTCTCCATTTATTAACTGTAGGACACCGTGGACAATTTATTTTCTTTCTGCCTGTATTCATACCTTTGATCTTCCAACTAGAGTGGTACTGTCCAATGTGGCCATTAAAAATAAAATTAAACCTAAGTAAAATAAAATATTTAGTTTCTTAGTCACACATTTCAAGTACTCAATAGTCACGTGGCTAGTAGCTACTCTGAAGAGCAGAGATGGAATTTTTTCATCATATAGAAAATTCTATTGGACAATGATGCAGAGGTTTGATATCTTTGGTCAAGATACTGAAAAATTCTCAGCCTTAGTTTCCACATCTGTATAACATAATATTATAAGTATAATAATAGCACTTGCCTCAGGATATTGTTATGAATTTGTATAACACATTAAGTATGGGGCTGTCAAATTATAAGTGCCTCCCAAGATGTCACAGCTAGAAGCTTCATTTTTCTCTAATGTATAGTTGTTGATCAGGAGTTGGCAAGTAATTATCCATGGACCAAATTGGCTTGCCACCTGCTTTTATATGGCATGAGAGCTAAGAATGGTTTTTATGTTTTTAAATGGTTGAAAATTTTTCAAAAGAAGGCTAATATTTTTGTGGCACATAAAAATTGAAGTATAAAATTCAAACCTCAGTGTCTATAAGTAAAGTGTTATTGGAACACAGTCATGCCTATTTATTTATGCATTATCTATGGTTGTTTGTGTCCTATAATGGCAGACACAAACAGTTGTGTCAGATACGATCTGTGGCCATTGCAATGCTTAGCACTGTTGCATAGCATGCTACAAATTGCAATGATAACATGACAGCATTTCAAGTGCCATACATATCACCATATTATGGCATTTAATTAATTGCTTTTATTACCAGTGCATATCCATCACGTAAAAACAAGGAAAGTAAGGTGAACTTCAAATGTTATGCTTTTAAGTCACAGCAGATTGGATTATTTTGTCATTGGATCATGATGTATTAGATGATATCTTAGTTTTCAGAGCCTGCTGTAACAAATTACCACATTGGTGTTTTAAAACAATACATGTCTATTCTCTTGCCATTCTGGAGGCCAAAAGTCAAATGGTTTCACTGGGCTGAAACCAACGTGTTGTCAGGGCTGTTCTCCCTTCAGAGTGAGGCTCTAGGGAAGAATGTGCCTTTTCTCAGCCTCTAGAGCTTCGTTCCTTGCATTCTTTGGTTTATGGCACCTTCCTTTATCCATCTTCAAAGCCAGCAGAATAGAATCTTCAAATCTCTTTCTGCTTCCACAGACAGTCACATTATTTCTGCTTTTATAAGAGCACTTATAAAAACACTTGTGATTTAGGCTCACCTGAATAATCTCCATAGATCAAGATCCTTAACCTAATCACACTGATAAAGGCCCTTTTGCTATATAAATTAATGCCCACAGGTTCCATAAATTAGAACCTAGATATCTTTAGGAGCCATATTCAGCTCACCACAATCTGTGAGCCAGATTGTCTCTGTTGGAACTACTCAATTCTGCTGTTGTAGCAAGCAGCAGCCACAGATCACAGGTAAGCAAGAGGGCATGGCTGTGTTCCAATAAAATTTTATTTACAAAAATAGGTAGTGGTCTGGATTTGGTCCACAGGCTATAGATTACCAACCCTTTTAACTATACGCTCTGCATTGCTGGCCATCTGATTCATTTATGTTGCCTGTCTGGATCTGGTCCAAACCCTAAGTCCCTCCCTGTAAAAGTGAATTTCTGTGAGGTGAAGAGTCTAGTTTGAGCATTGACCATAAACCAGGTGTTCTCTTCTAGACAGCGAGTATAAAGCAATGAAAAAGGAAGCAAAAATCACACCCTCATAGAGCTTCTGTCCTGGCGGGGGAGACAGACAACAAAATAAGATAAATAAGCAAAAGAAATGGCATGCTAGATGTTGAAAAGGAGCAATGATAAGCAGAGACAGTGATAAGAAGTGTATGTGTATGAGTGGACATTTTAGTTAGGGTCTCCAGAGAAGGCCTCACTGAAAAGGTGACCTTTGAATAAAAACTTGAAGTAAGTGAGAAAACAGCTGTGAAAATATCTAAAGGTTGAATGTTCCATCTGTTGGTAAGTTTTGATCAGAAGAGTGATAGGAAAGAAGTGGCAGCTATGTTTCCTTCTGAGCTACAATTATAGATCTCTTCTGCTGCTACCTGGGTGTAGGCTGTCAGGGCCTCTCAGGGTAGTAGATGAAGTAAGCATGGGGCAGATGGCCATGGCCAGGCATGGTACAGGCCCACCCACTAACCTCCTGCCTGGGGACGGGGACAGCCTGAGCAAAGGCGCACTGGCATTTGTACCCAGAGCCCAGTCCTCCAAACCTGCTCAGGAAGAAGCCAAAAGAGGCTTTGACCACTTGTACCATGTGATTTTTCTCTTCAGCCTAGTGTCCCAGGTCTTCCACAGCTCAGCACGTCCTTCCACTGTAGATCTAGCCCCACTTTTCCTTCTGTCTGAGCCCCTGTTCAGCAAGATCACATTCTGCTGTGAG